CACACACACACACACACACACACACACACACACACACTCACACCAGGTGAAGCTCCCACCGCTATCATCATGCCACCGAACAAATATGAACACCACCGGCAGCCCTAAATGCCACAACGCTCTCATCACTAACATGATTGAAATGCACGCGCGCGCGCGCAGTTGAAAGCGTAAAATCGCTGCCACGTCGGCTCGCACACACACGCCACCTGCGCGCGCGCGCGCTCGGCGCGACTCGAAATATAAATCCATCGCGTAAACCATTCACGCGCGCATGCACAAAATCCGCGCTCGACTGTCCACTAGGTGGCGCCAGAAAGCAACACCGCGTTGCTGGTACGTCGTGTAACTGCGTCGGCGCGTGATTGGTTAGCGACGAGTCGGGGGAGAGCGCCACGTAAACGAATGGAGAAATTGTCGAGTGCTGTTTCGCCAACGAAGCATGGTGGCGCCACCCACTGGCAATTCTTCATCCCTGTCCGTAGTGAAGACCCCACAATCCATCCTCGCACGCAAGCCAGCGCCCTCTATTTCGAGATAAGGGGACGAAAGCGCAGACACGAACGCGACAAGCGAACGCCCCACGCAGACACGAACGCGACAAGCGAACGCCCCACGCAGACACGAACGCGACAAGCGAACGCCCCTGCAGCAACATATATATTATTATCATTTATATAATAGTTTGATATAGATGATTATTATAAATGCTGCATGACATCGATGTTGATATCGCGGTTGATCCAGCTCTCGTTTGATCTGTCTCCATTTCTGCCTGTACACACACACATCTACGGTACTATGTGCTCTCCAGCAACAGTGTCATTTATCACTGGTCATCACTCTTCTTCATTTCATGCTCATCATGATTATATTAATAACCCGAAGCACAAGCCGCATCTTACTACGACGTTTCACAACGTACTGATATCAGGAGTGTATATGAAATAATATAATCAGGAACGAATAATAAAAGATCTATTACGATCTATATAAAGATACTATTTATATGTTACTATTATTATTCACTCCTGATATAATCTACATTATACACTCAGGACTGCTGAGATCGCATCTAGTCTGGGTAAACGTTGCAAAGATCAGAGATACAGATTTGAGATAAGAAAATACCGTTTTAGCCACCTATGTTAACAGGCCTATAACTGCAGGGGTAGAAATTAACTTTTGAACACGGGAGTCCAACGGGCATCACAAAGAGGGAGTCCGCATTCTGAGGTTAAAAATTAAATATATTAACAATAACGCATGTGCTTATTTTTAAGATCCATGCGGTTGCACGTCTGCCAAATTTTCTTTGAACATTAGCTGAAAAAATACGGTAATTCCGCTAGGCCGTGCTCTGGAAGGAACTAGTTAGTATATAGCAACATTTTCAGGGAGTCACATGCATATGTCAAATCAAGGAGTCCGACAGTAAATCAGGGAGTATTTATTTGACTCCGGACTCCCGTTAATTTCGCACCCTGTAACTATTGTAAGCGGGCAGATTCCATATGCCACGCAGAAGCATTACCTTTAATCCGTAGAAAGAGAGGAACCAGCTTAATCACGTAAGTGGGACACCCACACTAGAAGGCGAAGCACACCCACAGCGATCGAAATTCGTGAATTACTAAACTGGGAAGACCAATCAGACTTGCAGTTTCAATTAATAACCGTCGATCATCACGATCGGTTAATAACTGTTGATCACCGTGATCGGTTAATAACCGTCGATCACCACGATCGGTTAATAATTGTTGATTACCGCGATCGGTTAATAACTGTTGATCATTGCGATCAGTTAATAACTGTCGATCACCGTGATCGGTTAATAACCTGCGAACGCCGCACGCAGACACGCGAACGCGACAAGCGAACGCCGCGCACAAACGCGACAAGCGAACACCGCACGCGGACACGACAAGCGAACGCCGCACACGGACGCGACAAGCGAACGCCGCACACGGACGCGACAAGCGAACGCCGCACACGGACGCGACAAGCGAACGCCGCACACGAACGCGACAAGCGAACGCCGCACGCGAACACGCGACAAGCGAACGCCGCACACGGACACGACAAGCGAACGCCGCACGCACGTTCCTTTAATAGCTATAAGTGATTGTTAATAACGGCGGCCCCGCGACGCGAGGCCGCACACACAGTTCATGCAGATCCTCTTCGTAAAAGCTGAAAATATTTCGTTATGACACAATTACATAATTAATATAATAGCGACGATGACTGTCGGGGGGGGGGGCAGTTTGACGACGCGGTCTCTCGAGTGCAGACGACAATGACGACAGCGACGACGACGAGGCAGTGTTGCGCAGACGACAGAGACTTTGTGCGACGCCCTCTCCTTCCTTTCCTACGCGCGCGCGCGGGCCGTCGTTATACCGGGTCCTGCAAACATGAGAGACACCTGGTGAGTGTGCGAGACAACACGCGGCGTTCTGATGAACCTAAGATGTCTAAACGTCTGATAGAAACTTCGGCGGTGACACGCAGACGAGAAAACTTTCGTATTTCAGAGATGACGCGTTGAATAAGCATGCGATGTCAGCGGATACTACATATATGTTAAATATAAATATGAGATAACTACTGAATATCAGAGACGGCTGTTGGCTTGGCATCGGTGTAAATGAGCGTGAGGAAATACACGTAATCGCGAGACGTGGCGCGGCTAGATGTGAGGCGGCGGGACGCGAGACGGGGAGACGCAAGACGCGAGACAGGGAGACGCAAGACGCGAGACGTAAGACACGGGGCGGCAGGACGTGAGACGCGAGACGTGAGACACGGGGCGGCGGGACGTGAGACGCGGGACGTGAGACACGGTCCGCGGGGGGGGCGGACGGCGGAACACGAGACAGGGAGACGCAAGACGCGGGACGTGGACACGGGGGCGGCGGTGACGTGAGACGCGGTGACGTGAGACACGGGGCGGCTGGGAGTGAGAGCGGGACGTGCAGACCGTGAGACGCGGGGCGGCGGGACGTGAGACGCGGGCGGTGTAGACACGGGGGTGAGTACGCAGCGGCGGCGGGACGTGGTAGACGTGAGACGCGGCGGTGGCGGCGGGACGTGAGACGCGGGCGCCGTGTGGGACGTGAGACGTGAGGACGCGGGCGGCGGGACGTGACGACGCGGGACGTGAGACACGGGCGGGCGGAACGTGAGATGCGGGCGCGAGACGCGGGACGTGAAGACGCGGGCCGGGGGTGGACGTGAGACGCGCGGACGTGGAGACGCGGGGCGTGAGACACGGGGCGGCGGGACGTGAGCGCGGGGCCGGCGGGCGTAGACGCCGGGGCGGTGTGTACGTTGTTCAGACGTCGTGATTGCTTTACTGCGAGTGCGGGACGTAGTACGCTGTTGGGCGGTGGGACGTGATTGACGTGTGACGCGGGCGGCGGAGACGTGAGCGCGGGTTCTTCTTGGCTTGGTTGGACGTGTAGTACGCGGTCTTGGCGTGTGGGTACGTCTGATCGACGCGGGGCTCGGTGGTGTACTGAGGATCTGGTTCGGTTTTTTGCGGCGGACGTTTTTGACGACGGCGGGGCGGTTGGTGACGTGGGACGCGGCGGCGTGGGACGGTTGAGACGCGGGGGGCGGTGGGTATTTTACGGTGCGACGCTGGTTGGCGGCGGGACGTGAGACGCTTGACCGGCGGCGGGACTGTGAGACGCGCGGGCGGTGGGACGGGGGGACGTTGAGACGCGGGGCGGCGGGACTGAGACTCGCGGGGCGGTGGGACGTTGAGCGCGGAACGCGGGAGAGCTGCGGAGTGAGACGCCGGACTGTGAGATCGGGGAGACGCAAGACGTCCGAGGCGGCGGGACGCGAGACCTGAGAAACGAGACGCGGGACGTGAGACGCGGGGAGTTGGACGGAGAGAGCGAGAGCGGAGATGTGAGCACGCGACGCGGGGAGACCGCGAGACTCCGGGCTGCAGCAGCGGCAGCGGTAGGCAGTGGCGGGCGGCTGAGACGAGTAGTGCCTGCACGTTCAATGGTCCTTGTCCATCCGAGCAAGCTCAGAACTCTGTGGTGATTGTCATTCACAGTGGGGATTCTGGGCGAGGTCATTGAACTTCTGCAAGGTGCAACGACGTAACGCGGGTCCAAAGGTCACGCTTCTAGACTGTGTTGAGAGGCGCGTGCGAGCTGCCAGCCTCACGTTTGCGGCACGGCGTTCTGTGTATCAGCGCTAGCAGACTCTCGCCTCTCCCCTCCTCCGCTCACCTCCCCTCCCCTCCCTTCCCCTCCCCTCCCCTCCCTCCGCTCCCCTCCCCTCCGCCTCCCCTCCCGCATGTAACCTATTGGGCGCACTGACTGTTGTGAGAGCGCGTGCCGAAGTTTGCCCAGCCTACTCACGTTGCGGCACGGCGTCTGTGACTCAGGCGCTAGCAGACTCTCCCTCTCCCCTCCCCTTCCCCTCCTCCCCTCCCCTCCCCTCCTCCCTCCTCCCCTCCCTCCCCTCCCTCCCGCCACGTCACCTATGGCAGCCACTGACTGCGTGAGAGCGCGTGCGAAGTGCCAGCCTCACGTCTGGCCACGGCGCTGTGACTCAGCGCTAGCGACTCTCTCTCTCCCCTCCCTTCCCTCCCTCCCCCCCCTCCCTCCCCTCCCTCCCTCCCTCCCTCCTCCCCTCCCTCCTCCCCTCCCCTCCCTCCCGAGCAGGTAACCTATGGGCCAGCATACTGACTGCGTGAGAGCGCGTTGCGAGTGCCAGCCTCACGTTGGGCACGGCGTCTGTGCTCAGACGCTTCAGACTCTCCCTCTCCGCCTCTCCCTTCTCCCCTTCCCTCCCCTCCTCCCCTCCCCTCCCTCCTCCCGCCAGTACTATGGGCAGCACTGACTGCGTGAGAGCGGCGTGCGAGCTGCCAGCCTTCACGTGTCGGCACGGCGTCTGTGCTCAGCGCTAGGCAGACTTCGGCAGGAAGTCCTTTTGGCGAATCGCTCCAGGTAGACGTCGTCGCCGGCAACCTGTCACGCAGCAGGTACTGACCGCATCGCGAACCTGTAAAGGTTGAGAGATATTATCCAGGTGAGAGGATACATAACAGGTGAGAGAGACATAAACACAGGTGAGAGAGGCACATACACAGGGGAGAGAGATTACATACACAGGTGAGAGAGATAACATCACAGGTGAGAAGAGCATACATACAAGAGTGAGAGAGGACATATACACAGGGTGAGAGGCTATACACAGGTCGAGAGAGATATTTACACAGGTGAGGAGAGATACATACAAGGTGAGAGAGCATATAACACAGGTGAGAGAACATATACAGCAAGGTAGAGAGGATATTACAACAGGTGAGAGAGCCAATACACAGGTGAGAGAGGCAGCAGGTACACAGGTGAGAGAGACATACTACAAGGGGAGACACATACACAGGTGAGAGAAGACATATACACAGCGTGCGAGAGACGCACATATACACAGGTGAGAGGGCAGATCACGGTGAAGAGAGACATTATTCACACAGTGGAGAGAAGACATATACACAGGGTGAGAGATATACACAGGTGAGAGAGATTATAACAGGTGAGAGGAGGCATAAGACACAGGTGAGAGGATTATACACAGAGTGAGAGAGGCAATATTTACACAGAGAGAGAGGATATACACAGGTTGAGAGAGGCATATAAGGTGAGAGGACTATACAAGGTGAGAGAGACATATATACAGGTGAGAGAGACATATACACAGGTGAGAGAGACATACACAGGTGAAAGCAGTATGTACAGCGGTATAGGACTAATTGAGAGACGATCCATATGTACGATAGTTGCACAAAATTAAGAAATATGCGCAAATGATGGAAGTGCGCATAGGTCATATCTAACACAGGTGAGAGAAGTACAAGCGACAACCCAACGCTGCGTAAATATTCTTAACTCGTGGTACGAGCAGAAACTAGGGTGCCAGCATGTGGCAGTAACTAGGGTGCCAGCATGTGGCAGTAACTAAGGTGCCAGCATGTGGCAGTAACTAGGGTGCCAGCATGTAGCAGTAACTAGGATGCCAGCAGGTGGCAGCACGTACCCGTGTCGGCCGCTCCAGCGGTAGCTGAGCGCGAGTCCCTCAATCAGATCGTTAACGAAGCCCTGCATCAGGTTCTCAGAATTCCGCAGTGATCGCAGGATCACCCCCAGCTGCAACATGACAACGGATGCTGAGACAACGCAATATGACAACGAATGATGACAGAATGCAATGTGACAACAGATACCAAAACCTTTTCTTAACTAAAATTAGCGGCATCACAAATAAACTAAAATTAGCTAATTAACTAAATTATCACAAATAAATAGTAATAACGATGATGATAATGATGACAATGACGCTGCTGCTGATAATAGTAACGATGCTGAATATGACAACGATAACAACAATAACGATGATAGTAAACACAACAATTACAATGTTAAAGCCAACATGATAACAATAACATAATATAATAATACTAATAATGACAACAACAACAACAACATGAATTCTAACAATATCACCGACACACGTACCAGCTTGTAGGACATGCACCGGACGTCTGACACCTTGTCGGATGCTAGCACCATGGCAACGGGCACTATGTGCTCACTGATCTCCCCGGGTGTGAAGAGCTGACATAGGTGTAGGCACTGCCTGCAGACGTAATAAACAATGTGATTGTTTACTTCACATCGACGTAACCAATTAGATTAGGTAGGAGAGCAATGGAGAGGGATAGAGATGGGTGAGAGAGAGAGAGAGATAGAGAGGGGGAGAGAGAGAGAAAGAGAGAGGAACGAGAGAGAGAGAGAGGGGGAGAGAGAGAGAAAGAGAGAGGAACGAGAGAGAGAGAGAGGGAGGGAGAGAGGGAGGGAGGGAGAGA